CCCGCGGAGGACGCGCGGTGCAGGTCAGTTCGTGCCCGGTGCCCGCCGGATGGGGCGTGGACGTGGGAATGGCTCTGTAGGACTTGAGGCAAAGAGCAGCGCCAGCGAAAGCCGGGCAGGGAAAGGCCGGGCCTGGGGAGGGGGGATACGTAGGCAGCTGCAAGGTCACATTCACCGGTGGGTGGGTGACAGAGCAACGTCGTGCTTCTTAGAGAGCAAGAGGAAATGCTAAGACTTCTCACACCCCGAACCCGCTTTCGGCTCTTTCCACTCTTTCCATCAGGGCTTCCTAAAAGTCGGAGGCCAGACTCAGGGACTTGGCTCTTGGGGATCTGGCCGCAGTGTGAGCGCTGGCCCAGTGCATATCCCGCGTGTCCATGTGCTGGGGAGCAAATGCAGGGTCCAACCCAGGTTCCCTGCTCGCTCTTAGGTTTGTTCCAGACCTCAGGTGGAGCGTGACGTCATGCGACGTCACTGCAGCCTTCACAGCGTCACGGACAGGAGGGGCCGGGTCCCATAAGGCCCGGAACCTTAAATCCGCGAGTGGCAGCGGCGTGGTCGCATCCTCCCCAGTTTAACCTGGCCCCAAAGTTGGAAGTTTCGGGATTGTGTGATCCAGCTCAGGTGGACCCTTCCAAATATAAACAGAATTTAAATGTTCCTAAAATTTTTTCTCTTGCTTCACTTTTGTACTTTTATCTTTCTTTGGGCCTTTGTAAAATGTTTATTTTCTGCCCTCTCTTTCTACATATTCTCTGTTTTCTTCGTTTGTAACTATTGGCCTCTGTATTGCTATATCGTTTTTATATTTCTCTGTATCGTTCGTTCCCTGCTGCCTTTAACTTCTCTGAGCCTGTGTCTCTGCATACTTCTCTTCGTCCCCGCCTATCCCCGTCTCTGACTCTTGACCTCTTTTTTCTTTCAATCCCGTCTCCCAGATTCTCTTTGCCTCAATTTCTCTTTGTCTCCTTTTCCTTCCCTTTCTCTTGCTCTCCCTCTTCCAGGCCGCACCGGGTACCTCCCTGAGTTAACACTTTGGGGCGGTGTCCCGGAGGCCCCGAGCTGCCCCACCCGCCGGCACCCGCGGCCTCCCTCTGGGCGGTGCGCTTCCCTGCTGGCCTCGGCCCTTCCGGTCTTCGTTCCACGCGGACTTTGCGATTGCGCTGGCCGCGCTGGAGGAAGCGGGGGCGGCTAAGAAACCTCTCCCAGCTCCCAGCACTCCTGCCCCCACCTCCAACTCCAAGCCCTGGTCTGGAATCACACAGCCTAGGGAGTTACACCCAAGGAGGGAGAGGGACATTCAGCTTAAGGTCTCTTTCGTGTTTTCCTCAATTTTTAAAAAAATTTCCGCGTAAAAAGGCCGATAAACGTCGTCATCGGGATAGGAAAAGGTTGGCCCTTTGGCAGGGAACAGGAGGGACCTTTCTTGCCTTTGTCTGCCGAACAGTCCCTTCCTCCGGGCCTTGGCATCGCTTTCCCGTCGGTTTTATTCAATTGCTCCATAACACGGCCTACTGTTTTTGTAAATTATTTGTTGTTTTCCAGGATGATCCTCGATTCCTGGGCCTTTTGTGGGGTACACACACATGCACACATACGGCATGTGCCTTTTTCTTTCAGGCGCCTCTCGCTTTGCACAAAGGAGCGAGCGCCCGCGGTTGTCGTCCAGCCTGGCTGCGGACCGATCTGTGCGGGTGGCTCTGTCTGGCGGCCTTAGGCGGCGCCTGGGTTGCCTCACCCGGAACCTTCGAGGCATTCGTGCCTTCCAGCTATTCGCGGTCCTAGAGCGCTTTGCCCCAAACAAGCCTCGCCAAGCCAGAGGAAGAACAGGGCTTCTTTCGTGATAGGGGGCTGAGTCCACTCTTGGGCATCCCTGTCGAGGCCATCTGTAGTCCAAGGTCACCCAGAACACCGTGGGAGTCGCACGGGAGCGGGTGTGGTGCCTTAGAGCCTCTCTTCACAGTGCGGAGTGTCTAGGCCTTCCTTATGAATGGGGTTGTAAGGGACTAGGGTCCAAGGGAGCACTGTTAAGGGACACTGCGCCTAATTCACACACCCAGAGGGTTGTGGGGTGGCAGAGTCCAGGAGCGTCAGTACCCACATGCGACAGGCCACCTTGAGGCTGAGTTTAAGGAAAACGGACTCTGGAGCAGCCTGAGAAGGCTCCACCTGAGCGCCTTCTTGATGACCCTCTCCCAGGCTCTGGAGGCCGGCGGGTGGGTGTGGACAGCAGGGCCAGCGCCAAGGGGATTGAGCACTAGAAGCCAAGAGCCTCTGGGCAAATGCAGGATGTCGCTGTTCTTCCCCACGACCTTCCTCAGTCTGGATTCCAGCGTCTCTAAAGCTATGCCCATTTTACAAATTCAGGACAAGGAGCCCGTATACCTGTGTGATCTCCCCAGATTTCGGGGTGCACCCAGATCCTTACCAGCAAGCACGAAGGCCTGGCCCAAAAGGGAGCGGTGTGGTACAGGCAGTCAGGCCAGCCAGCAGCAGCACCAAACTCTGCTCTGCTCTCCACAGCAGAAGTCTGAGATTGGGGGAAGCGAGGGAGATCAGGCCAGATCCGAGTCCTTGAGAAAGGGCGCAGAAAACTTGGGGGCTGGCTGGTGGTTTCCCCAGTGAAACTGGCTCACTTTCTGAAGTTTCTTGTTTGGCCGGATGCTTTCCTCACAGTGTTATTTTCCAGGACTTGCACACCTTCGAAGTTTCGATTCTCCTCCCCAGTTGCATAGAAAACACAAAGCCTCAGAGAAGTTCAAAAAGTCCTGGGTTGTGCAATGGTCCTTGTCAGAGTGAGAGGTGGAGAGGTACCGAGGATCTCAGCTTAGTGAGAGATAGGAGGGTGGCCTCAGAGACTCCGCTGCCACAAGGTCCTGGGCTCTTAGTGGGGTGGCAGGGGCTGCAAGCTCAGGCAGGGTGGTTGATTTGGTCTGAGAGTTCCAAGGGCGCCCAGTGCCTCTTGCCTGCCAGGCTTGCTCGGGACCCACATTTTCCACCCGTGAAGTGGGGAGCAAGCCAAGGCCACTAAGAGCTTAGGGTTGAGACCCAATGGCCCCACTGCTGGGCTGGTACAGCTTCAGGAAGGGTGGCGTGCAGCTGGGCGTGAGGCACGTCTCCCGATCTGGGGTGGAAAGATCTGGTCCGGCTGCCAGGCTGCCAAAAGTGAGGCAAACCTGCCAAGGGCTCCTGGTTAGGGGCTGCAGAATGCAGCCTCTAACTTCAGGCAGAGTCCACTGGGTGGGGCAGGGACCTAATTGCAGTCATGATGAAAGTTCCTGAAAATCTCGGCCAAAATCTTAATCTGGGCCTCAGCACTACTAGATCTCAGGTGGACTGAGGCTGGAGAGCCACAGGGATGGTACAGGTGCCTGCACTCTGGAATAGTGAAGGTTCTAAAACACTGATAGTGATTTTCCTATAGTGAAATCCGCCCCCTCCTCAAGCCTAATTCCCAAACCCCCACTCTGTCCTGAGCATCTCTCCTCAGCAACACTCAAACCTAGGACTTCACTGTTTTGGTTCAGACTCTGGCCGAATCCTCTGTAACTTCCATAGAGTTCTCTTGCTACCCTGCCGCCTAGTGAAAGTTTACTTTCTGTGTGGCCCTGAGTGAGTAAGTGGCTTCTACTCTCTGTGCCTTGGTTTCTGAAACTGTAAAATAGTCATTAAAGGCTCCCTGAGAGGAAGTAACAAAGAAAAACCATGGTTTATGATACAACTGATGATCAATTTGTCATAAAAATATTAGCATTTAAAATACATTTTCAGGTAAAAATCTAACTAAATACCTACTAATGAAGTGGGGGTTAATAAGTGGTATGTTTGTGTCCTTTGCTGCCATTGTCTCCTCCCTGGCTGCTGCTATAGACAGCCCTCAATCAGCTCCTACCCTGGCACTGCCTTGGTCTGCTGAGACTGGCGGTACCCTATTACCCTGAGGTCAGAGGTTATTTCTGCCCCTCACTTGAGTTGAAACCAAGTTCTCATGTTCTGTCACAGCCATGGCCATGACTGAGTTAGTTAGTAACCCCCTTTGGCATGTTCCCAACTAGGGTGAAGATGAGGGTGAATGGGAAAAGGAGAAACACATTTGAGCAGAATATCTGAGCTGAGTTTTTTGTTGTGTCGTGTTGTGTTTTGTTTTGTTTTGTCCATCACCCCTTTGAATTCCCAGGATAGTTTTAGGTTCCCATCCTACAAACAGAACCGTGAGGAGCAGACTAGCAGGTTGGGGAGGAGAGTCACCCAGGCTCCTGCACTGGCTCTGGCCTCCAACTCCCACCTCGCCAGCCTGGGGGTCTGACCCAAGCTGTGTTCACATCTGAACACAGATAGCAGTCGGGAAGAGCTCCATCCGCCTCGGGTTCATTAGAGAGATTTGTGCTGACCCACCCGCCCCTGATTTTAAGAAGCCAAATCTTCAAGTGGAGTGAGAGCCTTAGATTGGCTTTAAAAGCTGGTTTTGCCATCAAGCTGTATTGATCGCTAGATTCATCCAGGAGTTGCAGATACCCTT